TCTTTATGTGCTGTGTCAAGGTGATTACTGCACAAATTCAATGTCAATCTCTGTGCTCCAGAGCCTGAAGAAGCCTTTCCCTTTCCATTCCATTTGCAGCAGCCCGAGATCGTGGCTGGGAGAAGGAAAAGTTGAGGTGAGCTGACACAAGCTGATCTTGATGATCCAAACAATGCACAGCCCAGGGGGAGAGAGACTGTGCTGGCAAGTCATTTAACATTCCTCAGCAATGACATTTTGATCGAATGCTAGAGCAAGTTGAGAAGGACATATTTTTGTGAAGAAATCAATAAATCAAAAAGAAAGAGCGGGTTTTGGGATTGTTTTCCCCCCTATATTTCATTAGCAATCTAGGGACATCTAAAGAATATTTTTGACATGGAAAATGTTATTATCATATTCTGCTCACTTTCACTACTATTCTGCTCTTTTTCACTACTCTCAAGCAGAATTTTGCTGAAAGTCCTTTTCATCAGTCTAGTTCAAGCAGTTGTCTCTCTTAGTGGTACAGCATCCTTGTCAAAAGTTGCTTAATCAGAGTAAATACTGCAAACCTATTTTCTGTTTCCTTTATAATTCACTTTGTTTAAAAGGCAATGAACCATAAATATTTAAAAGAAGTGTATGTCATATATAGAACTTTTGAAATTTAACCTAGATTTTTCATGCTTTAATGAATTCACCAATCCCATGTGCCTTAATTTTTGAATTGTAATCCATAAAGTAAAGAGCTAGTGATCCCAATGCTTTCCAAATAGTAAACCCTAATTCAGTATTTAATCAACTGCAGCCTTTTTGTCATGCTTCAATTACTATGTCACTGGAAATTAATGAAAATTTTATATTCATAGAAATAGGTTCCTGCAAGGGTTAATTTGTTTTAGTCTAAGCACTTTACACAATAGCACAGTAGAAAATTGGAATTTCAAGCAAGATTACATCATTAAACATAGTATATCAAAGACTTTTCCCTTTGCCCTGAAGTAGCACTGTTCTTAAATTGGGTGTCACTGCAACACCACGAAAGCCATTCTGCTGCTAAATTTCAAGCAGATATTCAGTATTTTAGAGTATTTTATACAATTAGCAGATACAAACTATCAAAAAAGCTACTTTAGGGATTGATCTGGATACTATTGGCTTGGACATAAAAATAAAGTGAATACAATGGCCCTAACAGCCCATTCTGGTATAGATCACAAGTTGGTAGGACCTTCAAGTCACCTCTAACAAAGTGCTTTCTGTATATAGAGTTTGTGTGGAGAACAATTAAAAAATAAAACTGCAAAAAAACCTCAAACAACATGATCACATCCTGTATACAATGACCACCTCTCAAATGGAACACATTCAAGGAACTAGGTGGCCTCAGGTATCAATTTTTGGTGGGAAGAGCATACAGATGCTGGAGTTTTATGCTCTGGCTTGCTCTCTGGCTTGCTCCAAAAGATACACTTTCTTCTTGAACAACTTCTGCCATTATCTTAACTTTTCCAATGCAAAAAAATTTATATGAATTGAACAGAAACTTTTGAATTTGAAATGGTGTTATTTGAAAGAATTTGATGTCCTACTGATGCATTTAGTTCTGTGCCCCACCCCTATGCCACCTCAAAGGGCTTTGTTACAGCAAGGCTATGATCCCATGTCCTTTTTATCCTGATGGATTCTCCCATACATGCTCATTTTCTTGGGACTAGGAAGGAATTTTATAGTAAATTTGAATGTGGTTCTCTCAACTACATATAACTATTTAAAAAGAGGTATCAGAAATAGTGAGTTCTTCTTCATAGTTTGTAAATGAATGGCATCTGAAATTGCAGGAATCACCAAAGAATATGTATGCAAAACATGATCCATTCTGTCTGTCCTTAGGCCAGTATGCAGCAAGTGGGACAATGTGCAGATACCACAGCTATTTTTGTTGCTGATCTTCTTGAATAATATGTCTTTGTTACTCAAATAATTAAAAAAACCCCAAAACTGTCTAATTAAGAGATTTTAAACATCTCATACTTTTTATTCATGGAATGAATATGCATAAAAATCATGAAAGGCATCAGGACAGTAATAAAATTCAACCCATGGGATGAGAACCTCCTAGATTTCACATACCATGCATGTGATTACTTGCCTACACTCAACACTCTCCAGAGCAGTAGGGATCCCTGGAGCATGACATGTCCTACCTGACTTCCTGAAAATGAAACCCAGGTAAGCATATTTTCTACCCTGTCTTTTTCTCCTTGATCCAACAGATCTGCTGACACTACAAATCCTAATGCTTTAACAAATACAGATTCAACTAAAAAGCCAGACTATACTGGTTGTGAGGTTGAATGTGTTGTGTGCTGCTGTGATGCAAATGCTCCAACAAAGGAAGTATTTCTGCTCCTTGGAGTAAAGATCTCTGGAAAGGTCCTCAGTTCCCAACATGTATGCAAACACAGGCACTGGTGAACTTCTTATACATTCCTCTGGGACACAGGCAGATGTCTGCAAAACCAGATTCTCTGAAAATGGTTCAGTAGGCTCAGGATTCCTCAATGACTCTATCAGCAATATTTGCTTCCCTCCTGCTCTAATGTTGCCACCAGCACTTGTATCATAAGACTGGATGCTAAAGAAAACACACAGTTTTCATGAGACTAGTGATAAAACCACAGGGGTTTTACACAATCAGAATAAAACAGGAGTATTTTGGAATGAGATGACATTCAAGGTCACTTTCTCTTCATGGACTATTTTATGATTGTATATTGTTTCTCTTTTTCTTTTTTTCCTAGATGATATTTCTTGTAAGTAGTTTGAATGGAATGCCTTACAGTTTAATGATACAAAGCTAAAACATGCAGTATTTTTCATGGCTCTATGGAAGACTCAAAGTAGAGAGGCTTGGTCTGATGTCTTGTAAGTATTGATGTTCCAAGTTTAGAACAAACCATCTCATGACATCAAGGTAAGGACAAGAAGCCAGGACTTCTGTCAGCTTTCAGTTCTGGCCTTCTGGATTTGCTCCAATGAGGTCCTGGGCTTTGTTCCCACCCAAACCCCAGGGACACTCCATAGCCTCAGCATTTATGGGCCATGTCGAAACAGCTGAAGAGAGGACAGTGGCTCCACCACATGTGCTTCCTAATTCCTTACGATTCCAAGGAACCTGAGTCATTTTGGAATCTGTGCTCCTTACCAGTTCTGTACTGCCCATACATGTGGGTGAAGGAAGACCCAGCCTGCCCAGCTGCTGGGAGACTTTGGTATGGTGGCAGCACATTTTTAAAAATATATTAAAAATATCAGCTACAGATTTGTGTGAACATGCAATACCACACATACACATACAAACTCCCTGGAGCTGTTATGCCATGAAAGACTGCAGTAATTTGCAAACCGACTGTGAGCCTATAGGAGGGATATATTTAAGAAATCAAGACATGCCAATCTTCAGTTTATTCGAGGAAGTGGGAAAATTTACTTGAAGTTTCCCTATTTTCTTAGATTTATGATAAAATTTTCACTTAAATTGGCAGAAATGGTGATGCAAATGACATTTTAAACTATTTTATCTCTCATCAGAAGTACATGGAAAGAAGTTTATTGTATTCTTCCCCAAAATTCACTGCCTATTTATGTTTTAAAAACCCATATATGTGTTAAAAATATGTTCCTTTAATATCATAAATATTAGTTCCTTTTAAAGGCCTTTTTTGTATTTAGATGCTCATTATTTCATTAGGATTTCTGTATTGTAAAAGGCGTGTGTGCTTTTGGAGGGTAAGCAGTAAGCACAATCTCTCATTAGGCCACAAGTAGTTAACATATTCCTATTTTCCAAGTGGCTCACAGCTCACTTGTCTGTTGCATTTAAGCAGCGTCTTGGTAGTTTTAATTGGATAAATTGTAACACAAAGTATTTAAAAATTAAGAAAATTTATTTTTGAGCATCTCTTAGAAAGAAACAGTTGGCAAGCAGGATTTTTACCACCTCATCCTTTGTATCTGGTTTCTTTTGCCTTTACGTCTACTGGTAGACCTCTTTATCTAAGTGTGAAGCACCAGGAAAGAAGAAGCAGGCACCCAAGTGCTCTTTAGGGAAAAAAATATTGCTGGTAGTATCCATATTTCTCCTCTGCTATATGAGATGTGACAGAAATAAGAGCTGAATCATTTCCTATGGTTCTTCAGAGACAGGAGCTGATGGAAGGATACTGGCTCTCTCTTCATGTAGAGAGAAACACTTCAGATTTTACTCGGGCTTCCCTGGTCATCCAAGTGTTAAATTAGCTGATTTTAAAAGGATGAGTAAACTAAGCCTAAGAGATCTTTTTTTTCCCAGATGATCTCATTCCAGGCAACATTGCATAGCTTGCTATGGAGTCTCTGTAATTCTTCTCATAGCCCTTTTCATTTATGTTTACTGGATTGACACTGGCTGCAAGATTTAACTTAGGGTTTTCAAAAGTCCATGAAACAAAGTGCCCTTTTTAAAAAATTCACATACTCAGCTTTGAACTTCAGTAGCAGCCTTTTATTTTAACACTTCATTTAAATGTTAATGTGCTATTTTCTAAACTTCAAACTGCTAAACTGCTGCATGATTTCCAGACTCCACAATGAAGATTTTCATGTTGGAATGACATTTCCTCTAGATTACACAGATACAAGTCTCCATAATTGCAGAGAGAATAGAGCAAGGCAAGGGCTCCGGCAGAGGAAAACATACCTGAGTTGTTAACTGAATAGCTGCATTGAAATAGAGGACAGTCATTCTCAGGCTGCATGGCATTTAAAGGCATTTGGAAAAGGCCATTTAAATCTCCCATGCAGATACAAAAAAAAGATAGAAGCCTCATCCCATGCTGTAGTAGCCATCTATCTGTACAATTGATGCATTTATGCAAGATATACATACATATACACTCCCAGTGAGGTTCAAACTGCCATTGAAAATAGGGACGTTGCCTTTTGGTGTAGGAGGGAGTCTTCACATTACAAATTTCATTTTTCATCATATGTGGCTACTATATGGTATCTGATCTGCAACAAGTTTATATTTTAAGTAAATAAGAGGTAAGTAAAAATATACTGAGATTTCATGTCTTGGTGAAAGGAGAATGAATTCTCTTGACCAGTGTGAAATAAAAAAAAACCTCCAAGACAGCAAAGAAAATGTTTTAAAAAAACCAAAACCAAAACCAAAACCAAACAACCAAAAAAAAAAAAAATCCAGGTGCCAATTCTGTCCATTATTTACTATTTTCTTCTATCAGTGCAGCCACAAAATTTCAAACCCCTTCTTTCTGGAGTCGAAAGAAACAAGCAAGAGAAGTATAGGCTATCTAAAGGTACTCCACATTTCTCCCTGTATTCAGGGATCAACTACAAGGGCACAGTTGTTACACATACTACATGTTCTTCATCTAACTGTCTGAGTTCTGGAGCATCCAGGAACACAATGAGAGTTTCGATTTACCTGACTCCTGTGCATAAGACGTCATGTCAATGTCTTTTTGCTAGTGGATTAAACTACATATCAGGCATATTAGGCCACCTAGCATTCATTCACACATGGGTGTGCAGGGTCCTACAGATTTCCTGGGGGAACCTCCTAGTTGCTACAAGGGCACATTTTTAAGCTGCATGATGAGTTTCATCAGGTCTTCAAGATGCAGAGAGTAGATTCACTAATTTTAGCTTAATTTTTGTTCCCTTATAGTCCCTCATTTAAACAGTCTCCCAGTGTACTGGATATGAAGTATCAGGTTCAGTTTTCCTCCACAGATGAGGAGAAATTTCAGGATAATAGATAAATCTAGAATCATGTTCCTATAAATCCATAACATACAAATGGTAGTGTGATCAAACCTGAGATATCTGAGGCTATATTTGAAGGCATGTATAACCAAGGACCTGTGGGAAATGTGCAGATTTCAAGAAACTCTGGGGCATTTCAGATGATTGAAAATGCCTTTGCATAGCCTGATCTGTTGGACCTCTTGTGTCTGGTCAGACAATTTGCTTTCAGTGCTACATGGGTTCTATGAGTGGAGCTGTCATAGACAAGAGCTTAGACACTTGGCTCATAAATGTTAATTTTCATTTTGATGTCTTAATTTATGACTTAAACCTATTGCCAGCGACTTCAGCTGATGTCAGATCTAATCCCACTGCAGTGTAAGCACCATACCTAGTCCTGAAAACAAGGAGTTAAGGAACAGTAAATTTTTTGGTCAGCGAGAAGGACTGGTGGACAGGCAGCAAGGATCCTCCTAGAGTTGTTTGTTTCTTTTTATCAAAACTAGAAACAAAAGCAAGACTAAAACTCATCAAAAGAGTAGGTGTTGCACAGGAATAATAGGGAGGTGCAGCCAATATAAGCAGAATCACAAAATCCTCTGGAAAGTAATTAAATGTTTCCTGCCATAGTCTGCAGTTCTAATTGAGGTCTGCTGGGGTAAAAGGGCTTTGCAAAATTACTATTTATTCAGTAATTCAGAAAGGTCCTTTTTATTTACAGCCATTTGGGTTTATTGAGTAACTACATAGAATATTTATAGTATCTGCAGTCTGTTCACTATTCGTTTGGAAACAAATAGAGCACATCCACAGTTGGTAAGTTAAAACCCTGTATTATGTCATCGTGATCGAGGTAAGAGCCTTTTACACAGCACTTAGAGACACCCCCACAAAGATCTGAATCATACTGTGTGTGGAGTTGTGGGCAGCTCTCCCTGTTGCCTCTCCCTCCTGAATCAGAGGGGCTGCTCTACCACAGAATAAGGAGGGTTTCTGTGGGGAATCTAGCCAGGAATCAAGCTAAATCAGGTAGGCATTTGACATGCAAAAATCAAGGAAAACACTTAGGATCTTAAAGCTTTGCGACATTAATAATGAAAGACTGAGTTTCATTAATTAGCAACATTAATGTATCTTTGCAAAATCATTAAGGAAAAACTACATCAAAGAGTGAAACCTCTCATTTACACTGCTGTGTTGTAGTGGTTCTTGGAGATTTAGAAATCAAAGGTTAATTCCACAGGCCACATCAGAATTAGTTTCAAGAGTGGTCTCTACATGCCTCAAGACTAAGGATCTGTTTAACATGATTTTCAACTTTTTCCATATTCCCAAAACATTACTTTTCTTGCAAAAAACAGCTCAGATAATGGGAGTTTTTTCAGCTTTTTTTTTACACAAACGTCTTTAATACAAACACCTAGCAGTCCAGGAACTACATTAATAAGAAGATGACTTAAAGCAAGTCATTAATTAAATTGATTTTAAATAATAACTGTCTAGTGTAACTTAAAGCATGTCGCTGGGTTTTCTTTTTCCTACTATATAATCTCAAACCTCTAAAATATTTTCCAACAAAATTACAGACTTGATTCAGCTAAGTGAGAACCGATTTACATTTTTGGGCCGTTTAATAGCCTTTAGTATCTAGTAACGCAGAGACCTCCGGTTGAAAATTCACATCCAAAAGAAACAATTTCCAAGGCTGAGAAACACAACATAGGCTAAAAGCTTAATAAATTTGACTTGGTTGTCAGTGGTGGGCAGAGCTGATCTGTGGAGGACTTGACACATAATTTAATACTCTTTAAAGATGAAAAAAGAATGGTTCCCAAAATAACTAAGGGAAATATCTCCACTATTACCAAGAAGGGAACTATCTTAAAGTTGGGCATGAGGCTTTTATCATTCATCTTCTCCCTTTCAACTACCTGTTCGGCTAGATTAATTCCTGACTGTCACTCATTCCTGACATTCCAGTATTGATGACTCAAAGTTAATTTGAAACCTTGCTGTGCACTCAGTAGTAGGCTCTTTTAGACAAAGGTCTCGATTCATGACTTGTATTCAAAATACCACAAGACTGGTGTCACATATCCTGTCTTTGATTGCAACTGACTCAGATGAAAATTTTTCTGTCTCTAGCTTATGCCCAAGGCTGGTCATTGCTCCTCACATCCAAATGGCATAACTGTCTTGTGTAATTGTTCCTTGGCAGAATTAATTAAATACAACTAAGACTAAAAAAGATCTACTACCTAAGAGAAGGTAGATCATGCCTAATCAATTACATTAGAAAGCAGTTCCACCAGCACTTCTGCTGGAAAATGTAGGTTCAGAGTCAGCTTGAGTAGCTCGATGAAGAATGATTCCAGAAAATCTCTACAAAGCTCTGGACACACACAGGTAACAAATGTGGTATGAAATTACACAGAACAATCTGCTTTTAGTCTCCTTCTTCAAGGGTAAGAAAAAGGATAATTGGAATTTGGATTCATAGCAAGAAGAATAAAAGCCTTCCAGGTGCCTTCCACACAGACTGGAGTCCCTCTGGTTTGTGGCAACTTGTCCTCCAACAAGGCACTTCTGCTTGATGATCGGAAGTGCAAAAGCAGGTAAATATCATTATATACTGTTGGAACATCTTCACAGTTTCCAAATGTCTTGGAAGTGGACTTGGGTAAAGATAAAAGTAAAATTTCAACTTCATTAAATAATTCAAACTTCATTTAAATTTCTTCAAGGAAAAGAAAGAAAAAACAGTTTTTAATGCAAGAAAAGCTCATCTTAGAGTACAGTCCAAGCCATGGGTGACCATTAAAGGTGGACCTCCTACTTTTCTATTGGTTTTCAGTCAAAAAACTTTTGGTATAGTAACAAAATACAGCAAATTTCAATACACCACTTAAACTCATGGAAATTCTCTCTAATGCTTCAGTTTCTGGACATTACTAATGACCAGTTTACTTCATGATGCCTCTGATGCAACAAAATCCTTGTTTGGTGGAGCACCTCTTGTGTAGTTCTGCCTCATTTAGATGCTAAATACTAAATATCAGTCAGACTTTCATGCTATCTTCCAGGATAAAAGTCTCATTTTACCCTAAACCTCTAGAGGTGCCCTCAGTAAGGACCTAACAGACCATTATCATTGAAGCAAATTAGGTCAACTCAGCTTCTCACTTTTCATTCACCAATGAAAAAGCTGTCGACTCAGATCTTCCATCTACATTGAATATTTCTCTTTTTCACTGTCCACCTTTTTATGGGAGAGATTGGGCTGTAAATCATGATTTTTATGATTTGGTTCAGACCAGAGTGTACATAAAGTTTCCAGAACATTGTAAAACAAGTCTTGGCTCACAAATGAGCACACTGGATACAAAAGAGGTTTATGGACAAGAGGATGATGCACTTTCAGCCTCAATGGTTAGTGGTGCAGTTGGCAAAGAAGGAGTCGCAGCTCTTGTTTCCCTCTCTGGCATCAAGTTAAAGACAGAGCTCAGATCTTGAACCAGGCTCCAAGAGTAAATGTATAGTTGATCAGAAGGGCTGTTCTTGCTGAGACCAGGCTGCAAATCTGCAAGATGTCACAGCTCTGAACTTCCCAGGCCAGGGGAATTGGCACATACAGGTAATCAATGTCAGAAATCAAACCACAGCTGACATGCAAAGAGTAGATTTATTTCATTACCTCACTGACACTTTATTTATTCTGTGATGGAACTGAAATTTTACAGACCCCAAGGAACTAAGGTTGGGACTCTGCCAGCCCAATTCAGCAAGTTTCAGCTTGCAGAGACAGTCTATATACTGTGAATGAGAACCCAAAGTTTTGCAAGGAAGAAAGCTAAAATAAAAAACCTTTGCATTCTGCTTAGTGCTCCGTGTGCAAGTGTTAATATCTTCATTAGTCATAATATGTCACTTGATCTTACTTCCGTTCAAAAACAATTGCTTTGTTTCCTTATCACAGGCAGCAAGAGATGAGGGCTGGCAGAGACAGCTCTTTGTGTAAGAACGGGTAGCACATACTGTGAGTAAAGATAGTTCTTGATTACTTTGACCTTTCATCATTATAACTTTGCTTAATATTGTAATTAGAATATTAGAATGTGCTTCATTTAGCCAGGAATGTGATAAAAAGTAATTCTTTCTGGGGTATTTTTGTACACCAGAGATGATTAAGAATTCAGTCAGTGTGTGATTTTCCATTTTCTTTCCTATATCCCTTTTTTAACTTGAACTCATGAGAACTATTAAGTTAGACCAAACCTTAATTATTGCATCCTTTTGCTTGACAGATTGAACTATATCACTAGAATCATTTAGTCTAACACCCTGGAATCATCATTTGGAACATTAAGAGTGAAAAAAGGTGTGAAGGAAGGGGATGAATCAGGGCATAAAAAAAGGGCTCCACTCGTGGAGTAAGGAGACAAAACCGGTACCATAAGGAGTGTGAGATATGCGAAGATAAATTTAGGAATATCTTGGCCACTTGTATAAAAAATTTTTAAATTACCTTCTGGAATAATCTTTTAACCAGTGCTTGAAATTTGCTTTTCAGTACATTCAGAAGGGTCAAGATTTTCCAGAATATTCAGAAATTCTCTTCATTTCCTACACAATATATTACATTACTGCATGCATTCAAAAAAGCTAAAGTCAGGAATCTACTGTTAACTTCTTGGCCCAGTCCATCTTTTCTAAACATACACTTCCACAAAATTTTGGGGGGGATTTGAAAATGTGAATTGGAGACTTTCCTCTGTTCCTTTGTTGCATCATTTTTTCCCTCAAACAATGAACATTCTTTGACTTTGAAGGCAGCAAATTTTGCATTTGTACTGGAATCAGTGTTGATAACATAGAGATATTTTAGTTACTGCTCAAAAGAGCTCACACAGATTTAGAGTCTTTTCTGCTTCTCACCCCACCCCACCAGCAATGAGACTGGGGGTGCACAAGGAGTTGGGTGAGGACACAGCTGATCCCAGCTGAAAGGGATATTCCAGACCATGTGGAATTATACACAGTATATAAAGCTGTGTGGATGAGAAGAAGGAAGGGGAAAGCATGTGGAATTATGATGTTTGTCTTCCCAGGTTGATGTTGTGCACGATGGAGCTCTGCTGTCCTGGAGATGGCTGAAAACATGCCTGCCATAGGAACTGGTGAATGAATTCCTCAATTTTCTTTGCTTGTGTGTGTAGCTTTTACTTCACCTAATAAACTCCCATTATCTCAACTCTTTATCTCAATCACTTTTGCTCTTCCAATTCTCTCCCACATCTCAATGTGAGGAGAGTGAGCGAGAGGATGTGTGGGGTTTAGGTGCCACTTGGGGTCAAACCACAACACAATTGTAAAGAGAGGGAAACTGTTATGCCACGGTCTGAGTTAGTCGTACACATTTTCTAAATCAGTCAGACAGAAACATGCTGGCTTCAGAAATCCTGCGGAGTTGGATAGACATAAGACTGTCTGTGTTTGAAGAAACTCCTGCAGATCCTTAAACTGTGAGCAACATCTCATAAATAGCTCAGGATTTCTTGAAGATCAAACCATTTAGTAAGAAATTAGATGCCACAATGAAGGCAGACTCCAGATCCTACCATGATGACAACTGTGCAGTCTTGGGTGCTCACAATCTGCTGTATAGGGTGAGCAAGACTTGAAGACTGCAAGAGGAGAATGCTGATCCATGCAGTGGTCCCTGAGCTCTTCTAGCACACAGCTGCCATGCAGAGGCCAAGGGATGGCCCTAAAGGCATACCTTCAGCCAGTAGTAGCCATGCTCTTACAGAAATGAATATTGCCTGTGTTGGGGGAGCATAAGCCTGATCCAAGGAGCATTTATGTGAACTAAGCCAATTTCCATTTATTTGAAATGAAGGTGATTGGAAATTTACTTTGGAATTAGGTGTAAATAAATAAATAAATAAATAAATAAATTAATATAGTGTGCAGCAGTACTCTGCAATGTGATTATATAAGGCAATGCTCCCAAGCCTCTAGGATTTTGCTCATGCCCCAATTTTCCTTAGTAGCTAAATCCAAACTCCCCTCTAGTCTTCTTGCTTCCTATATTTAGTGTCTTCATTTGTTTGTTCAGACTTACAGAAATATAATAAAAATGCCTTGCTGGTGCTCTGTGCGTTTTGACGGTACATTAAAAATAAAACCTAACCAAAATCTTACCTGAAAAATTACTGCATAACCTGGTCTTGAAGGGCTCCACCTTCATATGTCATCCCCAGGGTAAGAAGCATATGCTCTGCATTCCATGCCATGAAAGCTCCAGTTTGGTGAGCTGTAACAAACTCATTATTTCACCACATTGAATAGCACAAGAAGATATAAAAAATTATGATTGTGCCTTAGGCCACAGGGGATCAGAGTAGACATAGGACAAAGTGTTGTGAAGAGCAGTCCGTGTCCCTCTGCTCTAAATAAGATTTATCCTCAACAGTAAGGAAATAAACCCATGTGCATGCTTGTGTGTCCCTCAAAGACACACAAGCATGCACATGGTCTTGTCTCTCTCTGTTTAGCAGGAGAGGTTCCTTTATTTTCCTGTGTTCCTTTATTTCTTACTGTGAAGAGCTGTCGACTCCCTTGAAGGTAGCAAGGTCCTGCAGAGGGACCTTCCAAAATGAGAGGACAGGGCAATCTCTATCCATATGAAGTTCAACAAGGGGAAGTGCCAGATTCTTCACCTGGGATGGGTCAAACCTGGACATACGGACAGGCTGGGGAATGAGATGAGATGCAGGTGAGCAGTGCTGCACAAAGGGACCTGGGGATTCTGGTCAATGGTAAACTGGGTATAAGTCAGCAGTGCCCTGGCAGCCAGGAGGACCAAGTGTGTCTTGGGGGGCATCAGGCACAGCATGGCCAGCCTGACAGAGGGAGGGGATTGTCCCGCTCTGCTCTGCACTGGGGCAGCCTCATCTTGGATTTTCTGTGTAGTTTTGGGCACCACAATGTAAGAAAGACATTAAGCCATTAGAGAGTGTCCAAAAGAGGGCAACAAAGACAGTGAAGGGTCTTGAGGGGAAGCCATAGAAGCCAAGAAGTGGATGAGGTCACTTGATCTGTTCAGCTTGGAGGAGACTGACAGGAGACCTCATTGCAGTTTACAACTTCTTTGCGAGGGGAAGAGGAGGGGCAGGCACTGATCTCTTCCTTTTGGTGATGAGTGACAGGACCCAAGGGCACAGCCTGAAGCTGTGTCAGGAGAGGTTTAGGTTGGATATCAAGGAAAGGTTCATCACCCAGAGGCTGTCTGGGCATTGAACAAGCTCCTCAGGGAAATGGTCACAGCACCAAGCCTGATAGAAAAGCGTTTGGACAATGCTTTCAGGCACATGGTGTGACTCCTGGGGATGCCCTGGGCAGGGCCAGAAATTGGACTTGATGATCCTTTTGGGTACCTTCTAACTCAGCTTATTCTGTGATTTTTCACTATCATGAGATTTATGTTATGGTTGATTGGCTTTTTCTCACAAAGTCTCATCCACACTCTTCATTTAGTGACCCACTTGTTCTGTATATATTTTTTTCCCTTTCATCTCTACCCAGAGATTTTCAGCATGACTCACTTCCTACTACATTGGAGATCTCAGATCAAGCCTACATCTTTGATATGCAAGGAACACTTCCTTCCTTTTGTCCATGAACACATTATACCCTTTAAATTAATACCTTTAATCAATATGCCAATTATGTGAATTTTCTCTCCAAGTCTATTCTGTAAATTATATCACATGCTGATCCTCTGCATGAATAATTTCAGGTTTACAGATGTATTCTCCATGGTTTTTATCATATATAGAAACCTAAAATGTTTGGCAGGCTATTTTATAATCCCCTTTGATAGTTCTATATTCTGTAAAAGAAAATATCTCTTCTAGTTTCTTGGCCTTTGTCCAAGTCAGCAAGTCAGCTTGAGTCTCTACTCATCTGTAGTACACTGCCCATTGCTACTCTTGCTCCTGGTTTAAAACTCAACAGATTTACAAAATAATCTTCAAAATTTCTCTTCCTCTTTCACGTATTCTAAACTCTGCCATCAGTCAAAGAATGACTCATGAAATATCCTTGGATGAAGCAGTGAAAGCCCTCCTGACAGCACCATCTGCTTATCCATGGCTTTGTCAATTGGATACATTTTTATGTGGATGTGCTTTGTCCCTTCACTGGAGGAACAGATGGAAGTCCCCAGTCCTACAATTTTCCTTCCACTATCTCACAGTGAGTTTGGATCAGTGTAGGAACACTAGCAGGGCACAGGAGAAAAAGCAGAATTATGCCTTGACCAAGAGTCTGAATGTACCTCAGCAACTTTCAGTAATATTTCACCTCCCAAGTACTCTTCAGTGCATCTCCAGGAGTCTCTGGGAGTCTGGGCAGAGCTTTTTCCCTCACAATACTGACATGCTGACTCTGACAGAGGCTTAGAAACTAGAAGAGATATTTTCTAGAAGAGAAATTTAGTAATTATAGACATTTACTCATACACTCATCTAGATCTCTGCCCCTTTGGCAGCATGGGTTGCCCAACTGAGTTCACTTTCAACCTGTCATGCAAGCTGTCCCTGAGTGTGCAATGGAAGAGATGACATATAAATAGGTATTTTCTCCTTTATTTTACTACCATGTTATTTTTTAAATGTCTCAATTAAAAAAAAAAAATCCATCTAAAAATTAAAATTAGGCAGGATTTGCAAAATTTGGCAAGTTTTGAATGATGAAAGTGAAGGTAAAAAAATAAGAAACAGAATTATAGAATGATTTCTGTTGGAAGGAACTTTAAAGATCATCTAGTTTCAACCTCCCTGTTGGGCAGGGAATCTTCCACTAGATCAGATTGCTCAGAAAATAAGAAAATACAGTCTTTGCTAATTTTCTTCCTTCATATCCTTTTATAACTTACTTTATATATGTTATATTTTGACCTCCCAACCTTCTTTCAGATTATACTTATTGAAAAATGTATTTTAAAAGTCAGTGGTACTAAATTCTAATACAACAACCCAGTAAGTACTTAATCAGCCAAATCTTTATTACTGTAATCTGCTAAAACCATTACTTCATTACAATAGTAGCATTGTTTTTTACTTTGTTCCTAGCCAAAACCAATTCCAATTAACAACTCCAGCTCAATTTCCCCATGCGGTTAACGTGCTCTGCTGCAGAAAGGTGCTACACTTCCATAGGTAACATGACAATTTTCGTGGATTGTGACAAGAATTCAGTTGTGTCAAGAAGCCAGAGTGTTGATGAAAGGATTTTTCAAAGTCAGCTTCTTTTCTGCTTCCACTTCTGTTAGTCCAAAAAACATCTTTGTAAAGTTAATGCATCAAGCAACACATATTGAAAACACCAGACTGCTTGCAGTACAAAACCAGATAATCTCATTTCTATTATTTGAAAACTTTTATCTCTCTGAAATTATTCAGAGGTAAAGGCATAATTTAAAGCTACAGTATTCTTGCTGCTACAAAGCTCCCTATTTGCAATGTACTTTTTTTAACTCCTCGCTATAAATGGTAGAAGCCCACAGCAGCTTTGCAAATGTGTGGGTCCTGGCTACACTGAGTTCTTGCCAAAGAGGCAATTTAATTACTGACAACGGACCTACAAATTAATGGTGGTCACTCAGGACATGACTCTGATTACAGGAGATGGTGTCTCTGGGATATTTCTATTAGCAAGGGAAGAACCAGCAATTCATAACCTGTCGTATAAAACTTGTCGTTTTATTCTTTTGTGTGGCAGAGGCTTAATCCATCAATCCCTTGTGGCATTTTGGTGGTATTCACATGTATCCATGAAAACTAGGGTTTTCATGGCCTCATAATATATGCAGTACTGTACATATATTTTTTGGTCTGGAAAGTGTTTATCTTTAATCACCCAGCAAGAAAACAGTTTGGTTTTGTTTTACTATGGTCCTCTAAACACACTACTGGATGTATCATGTTCTGGTTCCCCTTTAGCACCGGATGTTTTCCACTGATCACTGGGGTGCAATCCTTATTTTTGCAACCCAGTTAGAATTCTGAGCTATCTCGTTGTTAGTGACACTTCCAGGGTCACTTCGAGTATACAGCATTGCTTCCATTATTTTCAGTAATAGCAACGTGATCGTTGTCATAATTTCTGCAAAAGACATAATTTGTCAAAGAATTATAGAAATATCCTAATACTAGATATTTCTAGCTTTAGATATTTGAGCTGCTCCGTAGCTCATCTGGAGTCATGCATAGCCTTGTCAAATGAGTTTTGAATTTTTCCAGTGATAGATGTCCCTTGATTTCTCTCAGAAGACATCCTAATGCCACACAACACTCATGCTGAGCAATTTTAACTTATACTGCTTCAGTTTCCCTTGTCACAACTTTTGCAAGATTGCTTTCTCTCCTTTCACTGCTCACATCCAAGGAAATGATGGTTTCATCTTCTTCACTTTTCTCATTATGACAGTGAACAACTGCAACTAAGTCAAGCCTTCAGCTTCCTTTGCTCCAAACCAAACATACCCAGTTCTCATAAATTGAGCACATCTCCAAGCTAGTGGTCCTTCACAGTGTTCTCTCCAGTTTGTTTATCTCTGTTATGCACCAGAGACCCCTCAACTGGACAGTGTAGTCCAGGTTCAGCTCTCTTCTTCCCTAGCATGAGTGTCAGCTGTCTTCTTCCTCAGCTTTCAGTGCAGGAGATTGCAACTTGTTTTGGTATCACATTTGTGGAGCACTCAACATCATGGGGCTCTGCACCTGTGTGGATTTTGTCTAAAGTCTAAAGGGATTCAAGATAAAAAGGTTATGGCTTCAAGCCATGTAAACGCTTAACATCATGTATGAAAAGTATAGGGACGGGTGCCTTCAGGGCCAGTGCATCGGTCGAGCAAAAGAGGACCAAAAGTGCCAGAACAAGTTTTCATAAAAAAAGAAAACAGATAGTCATTAGGATATTCAAATTGTGGAAGATTTGTAAAACATGAAAGCCATGTCCACATGCTGACATCTGTCAAGAGCACAGAGGCCATAAACTAAAACCTGCAAAAATAAACAAGATATCTTTTCTGTAGGCAGAAGACAGCTGGTATTACCCTGGCCTCCTGCTGAACACTGGGCTCACTGCTGTGAGCACATTTACCTTCTACTGACAGATTCCACTGGTCACAAGA